TCTTTTCACATGAGAGTCACTCGGACAAGAATCAAACCCACTATCTCAGAGGTGAAAGCTTAGCGCTTGCTCTGACAATTCTGCCAGTGCAGCCCTTAAGATAATCATGAAGTAAATCATTTTAGGCCGTTGGATGAGGGTCGAAAATGTTCAATTCCGTAGCACCCCTCGTGTAACTACATAATTTTTACATGAATGGATAGATTAGAACTTACTTAGTTAGAATCCACTTCCCCCCAAGCGAAATAGTTGCACAAATTGAAGTACAACCACTCCAAAGTTCATGCTTCGTCGTATTTCGAAATCCGTGAACCGCCATTGTTGTGTTGCAAATGCGCATGCGCTTGACCACAAAACACTTAATGCGCACGCGCAGATAAAAACTGATCTCAATCCAGAACTGGAGAAACCTGGACAACAAAAAAATTATGAAATGTGCGAAAGAAGGGCTGAACTGAAACAAGATGACATCGGAGTGTTTTAAAAATATATGATATTTTTATGTTTTGTGCATTTTAATGGTTTTTTCCAAACATTTTGAGTAATTTACCGTGTCGAGCCCTGGCCAGGAACACTTCCAAGCCAACATTACAATAACTTATTCAAAATATGATGTTATTTTATACTACAGCAATTGCATGACGTTCGCAAGCGAATCTGTTTTTCAGGCTTTAAATATTATCATAATCATAAACATTCCGGGCCGAACACAGCGGGGAGACAGGGGGCAACTGCCCCCCCCCCCCCACCTAGAGAAAACTATATTTACGGCTTTTAGAATGTCATTATATTAATTATTCTTCGAATATTTGGGATTTTTTTCGGCATATAGGCCATACTTCCCCCTGGTGAAAAAATTCTGCGTACGGCCGTAAACATCTAGAACACGCATATCGTTATTTATCAATCAGTTTTAGGGGGGTATCTATGGTTTGCACGTTTTATTCCCTTTAAATATGCAACATCGGGTACTGTGATTTTCATTAAAATGTCATAATTATCTTTCAAATACAATACTTTCATGCTTCACGATTTTATACATTAATCTCACTCAACTAAATTTAAATATGTTGCCCAACAGCATTAAGGCGAAAATCGGAACAAGACCAACAAATTACCTGACTCAGACTGAGTAATTTGCTCGTTATCAAAACATCACTGCTCTCCAAAATGTCTTCAGTGAAACCGTCATCAGTACTCTGACTCGATCCAAAAGTTACCCACCATGATCATCATCATCATCACTATCATCATCACCATCGCTGAGTGGTTATATTACTACCTGAAACAAACAAGCCGAAACTCGACCTTTCGAGCGAAGGCCCTTCGTCAAGAGTTAGTAGCCTTCGCTCGGAACGTCGAGTTTCTGCTCGTTTATTTCAGATAGTAATATAACCACTCAGCACAGAAATTTCACATTGGTACTACCACTCTGGTACAACCGTTTCTGTTTTCCATCGCCTTTGATCTTCAAATAATTAGGGTAAATATGTTATCTAATTAACTACATGAAGTCGCAAATCGGAACAAAGGCCAACAGATGATTAACACGATGTGGGTATATAGGTTTCTCGCTCAACCTGAACTCGGAATCTTTCTTTCAGCTGGTTGAAAGAAACGTTTTACTTACACTGTGTTATTCCTACAACCTCGATCTACACTGGACCCCCACCTTGTTCAAGTTATTACAACAGGTGATTACCCGATCTTATCAAACCATCACTGCTCTTCGAAAATTTTAGCAGCGATATGTCATATAAAACTTCTCCGAGTTCAAATTTAGAGAAATCTTTTTACCCACATCGTGTTAATCATCTGTTAGCCTTTGTTGCGATTTGCGACTATATGTTGTTAGATTACATATTTACCCTGATTGTTTGAAGATTAATGGCAATGGAAAACAGATGATGATGGACAACTTTTGGACTCAGAACGGATGACGGCACGTTGACGGTTTCGCTGAAAACATTTTTACAAGCGTAGCCAGGTTGGGGGTCGGGGGGGGGAAGGGGGCGCCTCCCTGGTAACATTTTGGCGCTCCCTGAGAAAATTTATTCTATAAAAAGAAGTGAAACATGGCCCCACCAAGGTTTTTGCTGCCCCCCTCACCAAAAATCCTGACTACGCTTCTGGACATTTTGGAGAGAAGTGATGTTTTGATAAAGAGCAAATTACTCAGTCTGAGTTGGGTGATCTGTTGATCTTGTTCCGATTTGCGTCTTAATGCTGTTGGATGACATATTTAAATTTACTTGAGTGAGAATGGACAGTGTGTTGCGGAAAAAGCAGTATGTAACAGTCACTGAAAAACTCTGATAGGGAGTGTGCTGTGCAATATCTGTATCTGTATCTGTAAAAGCTGTTAATGCTAATTAGATAAGACGGGAACTCCCTTTCTCTTGGTATGTGCGCGTCGTATGCGCAAGTTATTAGGGAGTTTAAGCTTCACGTTTGCGGGAACAGCAAGACCGACTTTTCTTGGCATAATGTTCGTTCGACTTCTGCGTGTCATATTTTCTTTCATATGGCACAAGAATAGTTAAGCATTCTAGTTATAAAACAACAAGCCCATTTACTTTTTATTGCTTTATAGCGTAAATTTTTTCTTTGCCTGACGTTTGTCGTTGAATGCGAAGCTTAAGCTCTCTAATATAATTAGATTGCAAACGTCACGCAATGCTGTTGCATAACAATACCTCCTACAACCTACTAAGCTGTTTCCTTCTTTGTTTTTCTGATGAACTGAGAATTTTTTATGGCACAAATATATTGGATTGGCGAAAAGGCGTTCGTGATAATGAAGTGCATGATCAACAACATAACACGAGTGTTTGAACACGAAATTGATTGATACAAAAACCGAGTGCGTAATGAAGTTCCAGTCAGCTTAGAGTTAACCTCCATTCTTTCTCATTAATGGATTAGATGCAAAGGAAATAATAAACAACGACCCTGGACTAATAAAATTGACAGGAAAAGATCTAGAAAATAAATAAGATTGTGAACACCAAGTAAAACTTGGTTTACACCAAGTAAACCTTTCACGTTTAACTGTGAATCCCTTGAACTTTCGAGTGTTGTTATTAAATCTTTTTCCAAAAGAGTTCTTGTTGCTGTATGTTATAGACCTCCTGACGCAGATAATGTTTTTCTTCTCAACTTGAACAACTTCGTGAAATCGGCCATCAACTCCAATATCAAGGATATTATCTTGCTCGGCGATTTCAACTTTTCTACCATCCAGTGGACAAACGGCTCGGGATTTGCTGACTCGTCAAGCGAGACCATCTTTACGGACATGCTGCAGGACAATAGTTTCTTCCAACTTGTAACCCAACCAACCCGTGGCTCAAATATACTCGACCTAATCCTTACCACCAACGAAAACCTAGTTGAAAACATCGAGGTTACAGATGATGAAGCTGTCTCCCTCCAATCAGACCATAAAGCGATTTTGTTTAACCTCCTCCTCCACACAAAACCTAAGAAGTCAGCTAAGAGAACAGTTTATAACTACAACAAAGGCGACTTTGCAGCTCTTAGAGAATCATTGAAATTGTTGCCGTTGACTGATATTGTTCTCTGTGAGGATGATATTGATATCGCTTGGTCAAAATGGTGTGACACCTTCCTTGCTGCCGTAGACACTTTTATTCCAAGTAAACAAACCTCCCGATCCTATACTCCACCCTACTTCACAAGCGAGATAGTTCACCTCCTGCACCAGAAAGAAACTACAAGAAAACGGGCAAAGAAATCGGACTCGGTAGAGCTATGGGAGAAATTTCGGGATCAGCGCAGGACTGTTAAAAGTCTAATCAAGACCAAGAAACGCGAATATATCAAGAATCTGGCAGAAACATTACCAACAAACCCCAAGGAATTTTGGAAATTTTTTAAAACTAAGTCAAACAAGTATTCACTACCAGATACCATGACTCTTGCTGATTCGTCTTTTACCACCTCGACAGCTAAAGCAGATGCTTTTAACAAATTCTTTGCCTCCGTGTTTCTTCCTCGCCCCGACAATCCATGTCTTCCAACTCCTACCATGGAATTCGACAACTCAACCGAGTTCACTCCAGTTTCCATTGAAGAAGTCCTCAGTCTATTATCTGCGTTATCTACTGCGAAAGCTACGGGTCCAGATGGGATATCTGCGAGATTATTGAAAGAGTGCGCTGACGCTATTGCTCCATCCCTTACTGAACTATTCAACAAGTCGTTAGCCTTGGGTAAGGTTCCTACAGAGTGGAAGTATGCAAATATCGTTCCCGTTCCCAAAACCAAAGAAACTCGCGTCATCGGCATCTACCGCCCAATATCCTTACTATCCCTTGTGTCTAAAGTCCTTGAGCACGCGGTCCACGCCCGAACCCTCTATATCGTCAAACCTCTACTCCACTACCAACAACATGGCTTTCGTGCAGGAAGGTCCTGTATCACCCAACTACTCGATGTTGTACACAATATTGGCAAGGCATTAGACTGTGGAAAAGAAATTGACATGATATATTTGGACTTTTCAAAAGCATTTGACTCTGTTCCCCACGATAAACTAATTGTGAAACTCCAACAATTTGGAGTAACAGGACGGCTTTTGCACTGGTATAGCGACTATTTAATGGGACGAAAACAACGTGTTGTAGTAGATGGTGTTTCGTCGAGCTATCTTGATGTGACCTCCGGAGTTCCACAAGGAAGTATTGTCGGCCCCCTACTCTTCCTGGTCTATGTTAACGACCTCCCTGACGCTGCTAAATACAGCAAAGTACCCATGTTTGCCGACGACAGCAAATGTTATCGAGTCATAGAAACGTCACATGACACTCAACTCCTTCAGTCCGATCTGCAATCCCTTTGCAATTGGTCCTCTACCTCAGAATTGAAGTTTAATCTCAAAAAATGCATTGGAATCAGATTCTTCCGCAAACGTTTAATTGAGTCACCAGAATACAGTTTAAACCAAGAACCGATAACCCTTAAACCCTCCCAAAAGGACCTCGGAATAATAATTAGTAACAACTTAAAATGGTCACCTCAGATAACCAGTATCGTGTCAAAGGCAAATCAGATGCTTGGTTTTCTCCGACGTAACTGTATCCACCTGACTGATACGAAATGTCGACGCTCACTCTATCTGGCACTCGTGAGAGCTCATCTGTGTTATGGAAGTGAACTTTGGGCGCCTCAATCAACATCAAAGGACCTTCTCCGTATCGAAAGTGTTCAACGACGAGCGTCCAAATACATACTTCAAGATTACCACTCTTCCTACACTGACCGACTGAAACTTCTTAACCTTCTCCCTATTTCGTACTGGTATGAGATGAAAGATATTATTTGTTTCTACAAGATCAAATCTGGACTCTACGACCTAAACCCCGAAGATTATATCGACCACCCTACCCATCATCTGACCCGCTTCAGTTCAACCAATTGCTACAGACCCAACCTTTGCAGAACTGCCTATTTCAGAAGTTCCTTCTTCAACAGAATTGTGCCTCTGTGGAACAACCTTCCTGAAGATCTGAAATCCTCCACCTCTAATGCCACACTCAAATATAAACTGAAGAACTACTACCGGGTCAAACTTGAAACATTCTTTGACGTTGATCGTCCGAGGACATGGAAAACCATCTGTTCTAAATGTCGCTCTTGTTCTATTACTTGTTGTTCATGATAGTTGAGAGCGCTCCAAGCTGTCTTTGCATTTCCAAAATGTCTTTGCTTCAGTCTGTTTGAATAAATTAAATTAAATTAAACGCCCAGATAAAAAACACCCGGGCAGTCTATGTTCTTGAAATCCTATCTTTGGAAAATTCAGGGACAGCTTGGAGCACATGCATGTTTAGGATGTTTACTGTATTCTGTGACTATGTCTGTGCTGCACAATGTTGACTCATCTATATGTATATATTTTTTTTTCTAACTTGATCATTTTCCAAACCATATTAACTTTGGAAAGTGTAAAGATGGGTTGGAACGCATTGATCGTGTGTTGTAATTTTGTATTGTAGCTTTGTTAAAGTTTTAACCTGTCTCTATTGTTTTACAATGTCAGTGTAATGTGTAGGTAGGACTTGATTTGGGACTCCTCAGTCCTGTTGTCTGTACCTTCAATCGTTTTATTGATTGTAAAGTTTATAAATAAAAAAAATAAAATAAAATAAATGTAATGCAAAATTCAAATATTAATTTTGGCGGTAATCATGCATGCACCCTCCATAGAAGGCCTATCACCATGTTCACATGCATGTATTTTGGCCATTACCATACCTTTATCGAGGATGACGAGGAATTTGACGATAGCGACACAACATGGCGATCATCAGCGGAGATTGCAACATTTACTGGATATCCCTTGAGATCTAGTGATGGATAGGTAAAAGAATAAGACATTAGAGATGCAGTTTGAGTTTAGACGCCCGGGGACCAGTTGTTCAAAGGTGGATTAGCGTTAACCCAGGGTTAAAATTTAACCCACTGTTTTAGTTTGCATATTTCCGCATGTCCATTTATTTCAAAAAGTCAGAAAAGAAAACTCCTATTGATCCAGAAATGATTTGTGCAGAAATATTTCGAAATTTAAAAACAAGCTGTTAGGAAGTATGCTTGAATTTTAAGTTAACCCAGGATTAGCGCTAATCACCTTTTGAACAACCGGTCCTGCAGAAGCAATAAATTTTGTGAAGATCGAGATTGAAGTACAAAATCATAGATGGTTTAGAGTATAGACCCCCTTCTTGTTTTGACAGCTGTACTCTCTCCTCAGTAGAGGCCATTGGTAGAGGCTTTAATCGCTGAGCTAAAGCAACACAGAATAACAGTAAGGATGGGCAATTAGGCAATACCAGCTTTTGAAATTCGATACGGTGTGAGGTAAACACTACTGCACATTATGTGCGACACTTTCTAAACACTTTCTAAACAAAAATCATCACACAAATTCGCCTCCACAATTTTTTTTTGAAAGCTAGTACAACCCTGGCGTAGAAAATCTGTGGCAATTTTGGGTTACAACCTTCTCTGCGCTTCTAATAATCAATATTCTCGATTACAGTGTCTGTAAAAAAATGTGTTGAGTGTTGATCAATGTGGTTATTGTCGAAGTACAACTTCGGCGGGTCATTTCTCTGTTGAAATGTCATGATATTTCTCAACCTTAAACAATATAACCTTTTGTAGATTTTGTTACTGGTACTATTATGTACAATATTATGTTACTGGTATCAGCGTCTTGGTATTATACACTTTCTGGGAAAGTTCGGAGCAGGTTTTTCAAAATGCGGAGAGGAAATCAACGATCTAGCATTATTTCGTCAATTAAGCATTCTTTCGACCTTCTTTTGGATAAGGCATATCCAAGGGCTGCAGAGGAGGGAGATAGTTTTGCGTTTTTCGTCTTTCAAATTTGGTGCAATATGAAGTTAAGATAATATTACAAGCATTTATTCCAGTTAATAATACTATATAACTCAAAGGCACAATCGAAGTTTGAAAACCAAAAAAACCAAACTCATGCGCAGCAGAAGGAAAAGAAGAACCATGTCCATGCAAAGAGGACCGGATCCGAAAAAGGAAAAGAAATTTAAAAAGTCCTGGTAATCGGCGACTCGATGGTGAAACACATCGATCGGGTGAAAATTGAGCGAGCTGCAGGTTGCCAATCAGTCGTCCACTCTTACAGCGGCGCAAGAGTGGAACAAATCAGTTCTAAAATTAAAGAATATTGGTCAGAAGGGGAGCAGTATGACACAGTTCTCCTTCACGTGGGCACCAATAACCTCGCTTCTGAAGAGCCAGAAGAAGTGGCATCTAAGATGGATGGGCTTATCAAAGACCTCAAAGATCACGCCAAGAAAATTGCCATCTCAAGTGTAATTAAAAGGTATGATAACCGAGTTCCGGCTAGCAAGATAACTCGCTTTAAAATCTTGGTTAAAAACTTATGCATGAAACATAATACCACATTTTTAGATAATGACCACATTGACAGGTCGTTACTAAATCGCTCTAATTTGCACTTAAACCAACAAGGTAATAGGGTGCTAGGGAGTGTTTTCTGCACATATCTGAAATCGTTTAGAGTAGGTAATAACAGGCAGTTTTTTCACCAAGCTCGTGGACATCGGAACAGAGAATGGACAATGTACTTGAAATATGTGAATCAAATAATGAAGAATTAGATAGTCCTATTTCCGTAAACAATGTGAGTAGCGATTTTTTCACTAGCCTTAATTCCATTCCCAATGAAAGAGGTTTTAAAATGGCTTTTCTTAACATTTTTAGTTTGCCAAAAAATATTGATGAAATAAGGTATTCAATGTCAAACAAATTCATTGATCTTATTGCTTTCAATGAGACTCGCCTTGACTCAAGTATAACTAATACTATATATCTTATATAATTTTGTAAATAGTTTTAAAATTCTTTTCTGTATACTTTTCGCACGCCCCTCGTGGAAATCAGCTTCGGTTGACGGGGTCAGCGTGTTTAAATAAAGTCTATCTGTCTGTCTGATAAAGCTTGATATTTTCTGTATAGGTCAAAACAATTTGCTCAAGTTGGAAACCTGAAAATTTACAGAAAATCCATCGCGGGAATGTAGTCACGCGATAGCTAGCCGTTTGAGGTATTCGTGAAAAGACGTCAATCTGAAAGTCCCTATAATAACCGTCTGGAAACTGGACAAACTTGGGAAGGGAGTAGGTCTGATCATTAGTCTGTGTATTAACGCAAAACACAGACGTCCGTCAACTATCGGCGCATATACAGAAATTTACAACAGTAATTCATTTTCTAAACGGTTGATCAATCTATGTGCATGTATACTATATAAATACGGAAAATACGAACTGAAAATATAAAGCGTATGGTGTTCCTATAGGAGGATTTATTACTATATTATACTAAATAGCGCTAGTCTAGCTAGACTGCGATTTTTCCTTGTGTTTATACAAAAGCCGCGTTCAAACTGCTATTGTGAGGGGTATAGACGTTTAGGGGTTTTAAAGTACTACCCCTCCCCCCTTTAGTTTAGCTTAGTTCCGTTGTGTCACATGACAGGAAGTGAAGAGAGCAGCATGCTCGAAGTTGAAACGATAGCCTTTGGGTGAATATTTAGTTTTATATTTTAAAGCGAAATTATGTGAATAAAACAAGTTGTTATATGAATAAACCGGTTTTACAATTCGATAGGAACACGGGTTACCTTTTGGCGATCCTGCCAGGACCCACAAAGGGATTTTAACGTTGAAAATACTGTGCAAAGATGTGGATATATTTCGTCAAGGCATGAGTACGGGTTTATATTCTGTCGTTTTAGTTGTAAAAATACGGTTTTGAAGGCTTGTTAAATGCGGATTTTCTGCTGAATATGACGGTGTTGGTACTGGGAAGTAAACAATACGAATTTTTAGAAAAATTAAGTAAAATTTGGTCGTGTTTGTAAGGGATTTTTGCGTGTACGTTGTGTGATCTTTTGATACTTCGCTATGGCGGAAGCTGACGAGGAAATTGAAGTGTTATAGCTGAAGCTAGAGTCGGAAATTTGTGGACTCACGATGGAAGCACTCGTGGAATTAGCGCAGCACGTAAAAGTAAATAGTGAAGGGTTAACAAAAATTCAATTATCTAAGGGAGTTCGTCAGAAAATCGAAGCAAATCTGGAGAAATCGGGTGACAAGAAAGCTTTACTTGAGGGCTATATTACGATGGTGACACCCGAGCCACCCCCATTAGAGACTCCAGATGAAACAAGTGAGAAAATGCAGGAAAATGAGGACGGAGTACAAACGAGCAAAACTGATTCGGAAACTGTCTCAAACACCTCAAAAGATCTGGTTGATAAATTAAATGTTGATTTGGTAAAAGCACTAAAGCGTGATTTTAAGATGATCGGAGTAAATGGTGGGGACAAACAAAGGGACAGCTTGTCTTTTGTCAGTCTGTCCAGACAGATTGAAACTGGAATTAAATCAGGCTATAAGGAGTCTGTGATTGTCGAAGCAGTTATTAGAGCTGTGAGTCCAAACTTGAAGCTTCGATCGTATCTCGAAATGATGAACAATATGTCGTTAGTTCGTTTAAAGCAAATCTTACGGGCACATGAAAATCTGGAACAGAAATGTAACAAGAATCAACTTCACTATGTCAGGGCCCAAAGGAGTCGGCACAGGACTTCTTAATAAGAGCTATGAACCTTCGTCAGCAAGTAATATTTGCATGTCAAGCGGACGATAGTGTTGTCAAGTATGAAAAATCACTGGTACAATCTCTATTCTTGCAGGTTGTTGAGACAGGGATGGAGCAAGAATCAATACGGGCTAAGTTACGTCCTTTCTTGGAAAAACCTGGAGTTACTGACGAGGAGTTAATGGAACGAGTTAATGTTGCCGTGTAGGCAGAAACGGAGCGACAAAACAAGATGGCTGGAGTCAAGAAAGGTGCTCAAGTTAATCAAATGGTGACTAACCCGGTTGGGCAAGTCAAAACGACAGTGAAGATCCTGCCAGTAAGAAAAAAAGCACGAAGTCGAAGAAGAATTTGACAGAATAAAGACAAGTTGACTGCAACTCTGGAATCGGTACAATCTGATTTGGCATCGTTAAAGAAAGAATTCTACCGGTCACAACAAAGTCAGGTGGGAGCTGATAATGGACCATCGCACAGTCGACAAAAGCAAAGGAAAGTTCAATGTGATTCATGTAAATAGTCTGGTGAACAGGTATGTGACCATTGCTTTAAGTGTGGATCAATTGAACATTTTGCAAGAGGGTGTAAGAAGAACCAGGGAAACGGGAAACGGCTACGACCAAGGGACGGGGAGTAGCACGTGAAACTGGTTTGTCCCATTCTTGTACATTTTGCACAGTGAGTGAAACGTACACTCCATTTAAACAGTGTAGTAAGTGTACATTTTTCAGGTACTGTTCCCAAGCCTGCCAACGTAAACAATGGAATAAACATAAAACATCATGTAATGAATTATCAGACCTTCATGAACAAAAGTTAAGAGAAAACTTTGTTGACGATGGTGTCTATGCATGTCACTTATCTCCCAGAGAAAATGCAGTCATTACACTGTTGGTGGGGAGGAAATGTACTGTACAATGTTCATTGAATGGGGTGAAGACAACTGCTCTCTGGGACACAGAGGCCCAAGTTTCAATTGTTTCTAGTGCTTGGCTTCAGGAACATTTGCCAAAGGCAAAAATTCAGAGAGTGGAGGAACTTCTCGGGGTTAACAAACTAGAGCTAAAAGCAGCAAATGGAACTGCACTGCCATATTGTGGGTGGACATTGACTTTTCACTTCTGGGGACAAATAGTGACTATGGGTTAAAAATACCATTTTCAGCAAGGTTGTTCTCGATTTACCGGTTGTGGGGTATAATGTAATTGATGAAATTACTGGAAATTCGGCTGTGAAAGTTAACCAGGCAAACAGACATCTTTTGTGGATGTGCTATGTTGTAGTTTAATGGATATTGAACGTGCTGAAGTTGAGGCTCTAGTGGCATTTTTACAATCGGAAAGGACCTATGACTTGTGTAATGTTAAAACTACTAAACCAGACATAGTAATTCAACCAGGTCAATCGGTAAAGGTAGTTTGTCATGTTGATGTTGGTCCCTTGGAAATGCGAGTACCAGTGTTATTCGAGCCCAACCCAGAGTGTCCTTGGGCGGATGGACTAGAAGTACCAGAAACACTCACAGTTGTGTCAAGAGGAGCTCGAGTCAGTATTCAAGTTAACAATCCCAGTAATCGTGCTATTGTATTGAAAAGGAGAACTGTGTTAGGAACGCTTCAAATGGTGAGATCAATAAACCCAATGGATGTTATACAGTCTGGTGAAATTGGCGATGCTAAAGGTCTACAAATGAATATTCATCTTACAGATTCAGTTCCAGTACAGAAGAATTACACAGCTATTCCACGACCTCTATATCCGGAGGTTAAACAGTATGTCGAGGATTTACTGAATAAGGGATATGTTCAAAAATCACGTTCGTCGTATTCATCGCCAGTGGTCTGTGTCAGAAAAAAAGATGGGAACCTTCAACTATGCGTGGATTACAGACAACTAAATAAGACAGTACCTGATAGACATCAGGGGAAGGCCTATCATCAAGGTTATCACCCCGTGGGGTTTATTCGAGTGAGTTCGCATACCGTTTGGGTTTAGAAATGCACCCGGAGAATTCCAAAGGTTGATGGAACACTGCCTAGAGGGTCTCAAAGAGGACATTTGCATCCAATATTTAGATGACATTATTATATTTAGTAAAACATTTGATGAACACGTTGAGCATGTCCGTTTGGTTATGCAACGATTACGTGCCAATGGAATTAAGTTAAAACCAGAAAAGTGCAATTTCTTTCAAAGGGAATTTAACTATTTGGGACAGATTGTGTCAGCGGAGGTGTACAGACTCGACCCAGGAAAGACTGAAGCAGTAAGAGCGTTAAAGGACTCAGAACCGAAGACAATTGGCGAATAACGGAAACTTCCGGGACTTTTCGGCTACTATCGGAGATATATTAAGGACTTTGCACGAATCGCAAGACCACTATTCGATTTGTTACAAGCTCCACCTAATATGAATTCTAACTCGAGTAATGTGAAAAACAGTGTACTATCATCACAACCAATTCAGTGGCAAAGCCAACACCAGAATGTTCTTGATTGAATTGATTGTCTCATCCTGGGTTACCCAGATTATAGTCAACCAGATGCATCACTTAAGGGACTTGGCGCTGTGTTGTATCAAATGTAAGAGGGAAATATGCGAGTAATCGGGTATGGTTCGAGATCCCTAAGCCCTGCAGAAAGAAGGTACCATGCTGGAAAGTTAGAATTCTTAGCCTTAAAGTGGGCTGTCTGCGAACACTTTCGAGACATTTTATACTATGCCCCGAACTTTACGATCTGTACAGATAATAATCCATTCACATACATACTGTCAACAGCTAAATTAAATGCAACGGGTCATCGTTAGGTGTCCGAACTCGCGGATTTCACATTCGACATAAAGTACCGCCCGGGGCGTAATAACCAAACCGCCCGAGGCGTAATAACCAAGATGCAGATGCTTTGTCAAGGATGCCTGTAGACTTGGCAAATTACCGAGAAATGTGCACGGAGGAGGTACCTACTGAAAACATCAAGGCTGTAATTACGGGATATAGATGGTTTATCAGATACTTTAGTTAATATTAGGTATTTATGAAGAAAAAAAATTGAACTTGTGATGCTGCATAAAAGATGCAAAGAAAAAATGAACAGTCTCTGAACTGTATTAAACAAGGACGGCGCTAGTATAGTAACAGATAAAACTTGCATTTAGATTTGTTTAGGTTTGATCACCCTATAGACAATAGTATGCGTGTTTCGTTGGAATAGCGTGCGGATGGACACACTTAAAGTGGGGGAGAGTGTGAGGGGAATAGCCGTTTTGGGTTTTTAAAGTATACCCCTCCCCCCTTTAGTTTAGTTTAGCTTAGTTCCATTGTGTCACATGACAGAAAGTGAAGAGAGCAGCATGCTCGAAGTTGAAACGATAGCCTTTGGGTGAATATTTAGTTTTATATTTTAAAGCGAAATTATGTGAATAAAACAAGTTTAATTTAACTTTCTGTCTTTCTTGACCGGTGTTATTATTCGATAGGAACACGGGTTACACTACCTTTTGCCTGGCCTGAGCTAAGGCAATTGTGATACGTTTACACAGCAAGAAATCTTAGACTTTAGCTTAAGCCAAATATTGTTTACTTTAGCAAAATGTAGACCAAAGCAAGGCAGACAGTGTAAACATCATTTGCATATTTTCGCTCATGTCCGGAGCGTTCCTGCTTAAATCTATGGTTAAAGTCACATAAACTCCGCTATCCTCAGCATTGTCCTCCTACCCTGCAATGTGTCAACATTAAGCAGTATAGATTAACCCTATTCAATAACTTATAAAACACGGTTTCGTTAAGAGAGATCCGTCAGACAGATGGTTCTTGTCTCGTATAAAAATAAGGCTGTTCTCCACTTCAACGGTATCTTACCGATTTTCTTTTGCGCCCATATCATTAGTTGTCAGGAAATAAAGCCTGTTACAGACGAGCAAGTTTTCTATCACAAGTTTTTAAGTACTAATTGCGCGTGTGTATGTACAACAAATTTTCTATGATAAATTTTTGGTTGTCTGGCCGCCACGATAACTGTTGAATAATACTAGATTAGAAACATTGATATTTAGACAATTAGTTTAGATTAGCTGTGCCTTGGTCACAAGACATTTTTTTTTTCCTTTCAGTGCTGTTTTTAACTCTTAAACACAGCGTTTCGTACTATTTTCTTTCAATATATTTAACCAAACGAACCTGGTAGGTGATGTCTTTTACGACATACCTAATATCATTATCGTTAATTTGGGCATCTCGCTCGATAGAACTAACGGTTGAGAAGGGTTTTTGTTGGATGAAAATTTCAAACACATCTATAATAACCACATCATTATCGCTGTCCACCGCATGGAAGTGCTTAAATAACTTTGTCAAATTTTATTTGTTGACCCATACAGACGACCAAAATTTAAACATTGCCAAGTTTTTCGAAGACAAGTCAACATCTGTACTTGTCATGAAAAAAATTATGCAAAGTTGCCATTACAGGCAGGTAAATAAAGCTTGTCATATGAAAACTTATCATAGAAAACGAGCTCGTTTGTAACAGACTTAAAAGAATACGTAACATCTCGTTACGGTTGAAGAAGAAAACCGGCTCAAATAGACAATTTTGTTTATAATACCTTTCAAAGTAAAGCATTCCTTTTCGTTTTCACACATCCATACTTTGAAAAAGCCGTCAAAGGAAGCGGTAACACATCTCGAGCCATCATGTGTCACTGCAATGTCAATGACCGACTTTGAATGACCGCGTGACCTGTCTTGTTTCAAGTGTGCGCTAGTATCCAGATTCCACACTCTGAAACTACCATCCGAAGAGCCAGATACCGCCTTGAACTTCTCAGAAGTTATCGAGAGAGAACTGAAATGCAAGAAGGTGATTGTCGATTTAAACTTATTTTATTTGTCATTTATTCTCTCTGGAGGTGCAAAGAGGATTATCCTTGTTAGCCTATAGTGTTTCTATTGAGCGAACCGTAACTAAAAACGAACTTTATTTATACAAGACAGGTCCGTCCGTTCTAAACTGACCTGGTAGAGGTCGAGTAAGGGCAATTTCATATTAATCAAGTGTTACTACAGTCTACAGATGAAAACCTCAACAAAAGTCACTGCATTTGGACTGGATATTTTTTCACTTCTAAACTATTCTCCCTAGAGGTCCAGTAAAAGTCAATTGCCAATTGGCCGAGTTGTACTGCAGAGGGAAACCAGATTGTGCTGCTCTTTATTGTGACTAGTGGAGGAAGCCAACCAGAGTACCCAGAGAACGTGTGCAGTGGCGTTTGGTAGAGTAAAACTGCATGGAAGCACACACTGCGGTGAAATTATAATCTGACAACTGCATATATTAGGGACCTTTAGCTAGCAGGACGGCGACCGCTATTAATACAATGAAATTCATGATAGGGTTATAAAGAAATGATTACTGTAAATGTCCCTTGGGAGTTTTAAATGTCTTCCTCGCTCTGTTTACAAATAACAAACTAATGATTTTACGTCTTGTATACAACGCGCGAGAAGTGGTCCTCGGCAAACTGGCTTAGTAGAAGTCTTCTCAAATATAAATCCCGTCTTAACCTCCTAAAACTGTATTAAATTCGTACAACGAATAATAGACGACAAGTTTTCCTTAAAGTTATTTATTTGAAGGATTTTGTTTTGATCTTCGCGTTGCCGTCCATCATGCTAAAGGTCCCTATTGGGAGAATGGTACCGCTGTCAGAAAGGTGCCAAGGTCTATGAACTCACTTGATTGGCCTGCTATGACCTTCAAAACAGGAAAGTAATTCCCCAGTGTGGAAACACCACAATCTCATAATCATATCCTGACCCCCGGAGATAATACGCTTCGTATCAGAACTCACAGCAACACTATAGATCTTGCCTTCATGACCACGGAGGGTATGGATTTCTTTATGCTTTTTAGCATCCCAAATCTTTAAAGTTCCATCCCATGACGCAGAAACAAGCATTGGATTGTCATTTCCTAAATCAAAAAGAGAATGGTCAGATTTTAACTACAGACGGATGAAAAAAATTCGTCTGATACGTATTCTCCAATCAAAAATCCATCTTACTTTCGCTACTCACTTTACACGACTAAATGAGCTGTTATTAAATGCTCACATGCATGCAATTGACCAATCACGAGTCTTCAACAGGGTAACGTGTTTGTCCCACATTTTACGATGTAGGACAGGAGCATATATATTGAACAGTAGCTTAACATGGCTGTTTTCCTGGTTGATCAAACCTTTTCAGGTGCTTTGCCAATTTCAAACACAAAACAAATGAGATCGCAAAGTAATGAAAAGGATTTGGAACATTATTTAGGCACAGTTATTTCTACCCTGCAGCTTTGGTGAAAATTATAGAAGCGCGGAAAAACTTGTCTTTGCGAAATTTATTCGTTTACAACAATCGCCAGGTTAGTGATATATAATTTTTCATTAAAATTAGGTCACATCACCTTTAAAACAGACTTACTGAATGGAATTGAGTTTTTTTTATGTAGAATTGTTGTTGAAAACTAGGGGCCAATAGTATAAAAAAGTAATTAAAAATTAACTACAGTTGGTGCGTAAGTTAACTAATCAAGATCGCGTATTTTAAAGTTTACTAGTATTTAAATACAAAATAGTCGGGTTAAAAAGTATAAGAGTTTTATACAACCGGCACGAAGTTAGTAACTTTCTTGTTTAGTGATTTAATCAAATTCGCCGCCCACGTGTATTATTTTGGCTGTAATATGTTATCGCTTACAAAGAACTTTTATGTTCGATATAATAAAACACCTGTTTGAATTCATTGTCGCCCAATATGGCAAAATATTAAGTCTCGACTTCAATATTGGGCTCGACCTTCGGTATCATAATAATAGACTTTAAATACTGCTCTTGGCAAAAGAATTACAGCTGTATTACAAATTTTTAAAAAGCGAAAATGGCTACACAACTGCAAAGTTCAATAGTCTAAGAATTGTGCTAATTGTATAATAAAAATGTACAAAAACAGGTACGCACTGCGTACATGTGGCTAGCCTATTCAGCCTGTTTAAAACAGCTGGAGTTCACATTGTCATAAACATTCAGCACAAACATTCATTGTGATACAAAATTAATAATTACTTAACAATTATTGAATGAGGTTGAGCACGATATAAAGAATTATCAAACCTGAAGTTTGCCGTTATCAACCGAAGCCGAAGGCTGAGGTTGATAACGGCAAACTGAGGGCTTGATAATTCTTCATATTGTGTGAAAACCGAATTCAATAATTGTTTTATTATTTATTTAAAAAATTCAAAACAAACATTTGTATTTTATTTGTATTAAGAAAAAACAATTCCTTAGTCCTTCGGCAGCCGTCGTTGCGTCATATCAATGGCGTCAGCGAGTCAATATGATTCTCGTCGTCATAGTAATATGGCGCAAACGCGTCCAAATTTTTTTCATATTGACTCTTTGACGTCATTTTCCTAATATGAATGTGAAAAATCCGTATTTGGTTAGCCATCGAGTTGATATGACAATTTCACAGTTGGCTGTTAGCCAATCAGAAAGTAACCAGGAATTTCTTAAGTAAATAATAAAAAAGAATAATGGTCAAAATAAGACAGATGCAGTATCTTTCTTACAATGCGAACAAATGGCTACAACAATCACTCGATTTAAAAGCAACATTTGGTTGATAGCAATGGTACAGCCAATATATTATTGAGTCACTTTAATTAGTAAATGTTTTGCTTTAATAATAAGCATATACAGCAACTAATGATGTCAATTTATTGTTTTTCAGAATTTCACTCTACAAAAATATAGTAAGAGGCATTGTTAATGCATGTCTAAACAATCCAGTAATTCATTAAGATTTCATTGCATTGGTTTGACTTGTTACAAATATATTCTGGTGTCTGATTCAAAAGTTATTAGCTTTTCTTGAATTGCTGGCATCGCAAATTTCATAAAACCTTTAAATTCAAAGTTCTACATTAATATAATATTTAATACTAGATTTTTAAACATTTTGTATTTATTGTAAGATCTAACAGCATCGGAATATATAATGAACTCATCCAATTGATCATGTCATCACCACTAAAACGTTTCTCTGATAGTTGTACTTGCCCTGATACTTGCATATTCTGATCTTCCTATATTATCCAATATTATCACCAGTCACCATATTATCAGCAAATTGTCCAGAATATGTGTTCACTTAGTTGTTTGAAGCACTGTAGATGTCATGCATCACTATGATTTTGAATCGTCTTTTATCTGCAAATTGTTTAAAAATAACAAAATATTTAAGGCAGATCATAAGACTGAAATATTCGAAATGATGCAGGTATAAATTTAAACAACATTTAACTCTAGCTGTAAAAGTATGAACATGCTACTCAATTGACACTGCTGTTAAATGCTGAAAAGAAAGCTTGAAACTTGTCAATATGGTCTCAGCACAATGGCTGTGGGTTTGCTTTCTCATATACCCTCACAGCTGCAAGGTTCAGTGTTGTATCGGGATTGCACTGATCTTCAAAGACGTAGCAAAGCATCTGATGTTGGGGGGGGGGGAGGATTTTACCTGAAATCTGAACTCCAATGCTAAAAATTTATCTGAAGTGTAATAATTATAATAGAGCTTTTTCTGATTGATTTCCACTGTCATACTACTGTAAGTTTGCAAAGAAAAGGGGGTGTGGGGGTCCTCCCCCTGAAATTTTTTTACGTTTTTGAAACTCCAGGACTGCATTTCTGGCATTTTCTAAAGCAAATTTGCAAACAAATTGGATCTAATTAAAATGACTGGATTTTATGCACCTATCAATGTAAATCCCGTGGGGGGGGGGGGAGGCCGGGACTAGGGAGGGGATTTGACAAAAATATGAGAAAACTAATCAAATGCCCGCAGGGGGGGGGGAAGAAAATTCTGGTCAAATAAAGGTAACTTTCCCCACCCAAGGGAGAAGAGCTACATATTTTAAGCTTTTTAAAAACACCAATTTACTTATAAACATCGAGCAAAACAAGGGAGAATCATTTTTAATAATATGAATTGGCATGAACATAAAGGTCCGTTCACAGTGGAGGCGATGCTACAATGCGATGCTATTTTCTGATTTTCATAAACAGATAACTTTGATCCTGGTTTAAATTTAAACTTGCCTTTTATACAATTACGTAAAAACCACTGTAAAAAGCTTTGCAAAACAGCACTTTCGACCTCGCTTTCGACTACGCTCAAATGACCACGCTGGATTTAAATTTTACGCATCACTGCTCATGCGCATTAATAAGTTCAACCTGCGAGCAGGCTGGGCGGAATTCAAACCGCCCCATCCTGGGGACATGGAAGTTAGAAAACGTCCCAGGGAGGGGATGAGTTTTGTCATCAAACTCCCTGTACTGTCCCGGCCTCCCCCCCCCCACGGGGTTTACATTGATATGTGCATTACAAAAATGGTTATCATTTTACAAAAATAACAACTTTTTAACACAAATTTTATTCGAAAATGTCAAAAATTTAAACATGAATTTCAGGGTTCTGAATTTACCTGAATTACACCATCCCCCCCCAGATCGCTACGTCCTTGCTGATCTGCACCTACATGTACAGTTGGATTTGTCGCAACTGTTCCTGCTTAGGTCTAAGAAATGTAAATACATTTCCGCTCAATTATTTCCATCTACAAATTAAATCCTTCAACTATCAATTATTTCCATCTACAAAATCCCTCAACTATGCGTAAACAGGCTGAGCTACCATTGCACTGCACTGTGTGTGAAATTGTGGTGGCATACAATCCTTGAACAATAGATCTCAATAATAGCACCCATATTTGCAGTCAAAGGGATGTCAGTGACTACTATAGTGATATAAAATAGTCCAGCCTGGTTTCGGTGTTAATTTTAGTTTTATGCCTGCAAGCTGATAGGGCAGTTGAAGTACAATGCCAGCAATGGGCTTGCTTTTTAATTTACCCGCACAATGGTACATTAAAATTCAACAACTGTGCAAGCACGTTAGATTATAAACAGGATTATAAAGCTTTATATGAAGCGTGATCAAAATCTCTTTGACACGAGGCAGAGTCCACAGCAGACATGAATAGCAATGTTTTTATAAATATGAATGACAGATTCACAAATTATAAACATACTATCGATTGAAATAACAAAAATTAACTTACTGTTTGCTGTGAAAATTCCTTCGAGTACTTCTACCAGCGTTGCCAACTGTAATTTTGCAAAGTGAGGCAAAGATACCTTATCTGTGGCATTTAATGACGATACCTTGTGGCACAGAATAGATACCGGACGTTGTGTATCTATTCTGTGCTTGTGGCATGAACGACAATTTCCGAAGTAAAGTCGACAATTTCCGTCACAACTCTGCCTATTTTCCACTAGCGAATTTGTTCGCGCGAACATTTGTCTTACGAACTCTCGGCTGGAACTAATTAGATTTTTATTCAATTCTTTTCAATTTAAACAATAGCAAATTCGCTTCGCACGAAGAAATTCGCAAGTGGAAAACCGGCTTAACATTTTAGCGTTACATATTAAATGGCAAAAACTAATCCGTAACAACTAATTCACCAGCTTATTATATAGTCTGGCCCCTCTCACTGTAAACAAAGACTAGTGCCGACAGTGGCGGCGCCAGTGGGGGCAAAGGGGGGGGGTGGCATTTGCACCCCCCCCCCCAATTATTTTTTGCCCCCATTCCCCACCCCCTTCAAAAAAATTTATTAGTCACTGATAGCGACTAAAGGCTACACAGGCGTTTTGTCGTTATCGGAAAATGTATGGCTTATAAGTTGTCACAGGGTTCGTAGTCTCCAAGACCAAAAATAGTCAAAGACTTTCAAAGTTTTTTTTTGCTTATAGTAAAAGACTTTTCAAAGATCTTTGAGAGCATCAACTGTCGAAAAATTGCGAGTGTAAGCACCATTTTGACCCGGTAATTAGTCCGGACAAATCACATCCTAAAATGCACCTTTTCGTCGATATTTGCGAAAATCTTGCTTCAATCAATCTCTTTTATTAGCTAGGAAATCGTATAATCAAATAATCACTAAAGAATTTAAAGACTTTCTTCGCTTTTTCACACAATTCAAAGACTTTTCAAAGACCTCAAAGACCTGAATTCAAATTTAAAGACTTTCAAGGATTTTGAAGACCGCTACGAACCCTGGTTGTCATAACTCAGTGAATGCGCCGTATACATGAAACTGTCTTTTACAGTTTTAATATTAGTTTGTAAATCTCTGAATGGTAAAACTTGCCAATACTCCAATAATACGTTTCAAAAAAGACAAAAAAGCTTTAGTTTTGCAAAGTTAAATTCTCAAACGTGTATAAAAGGCCCACACAGACCGGATGCGATTCGGCAGCGCGACGCGAATTTTCAGTTTTCAACTGACAAATAAAACTGTCAACAGATAAAAATTTTACAAGGTATGCAGACCAAATAGCTGAAATTGCTAAGTGGTCCCGAATATTTGAAAAACAATGAAACATATTAAAGTTAAATGTCATTGAAAACTGAAAATTCGCGTCGCGTTGCCAAATAGCGTCCGGTCTGTATGGGCCTTAAGGCACTAATAAGATGAAAGTATCACGAAACTATTTGAATAACCACATCGCGTATATATGGGGGGCGAATATCCTAAACGGGGAGGGATATTCCTGAGGCATTCGCCCCTCTGGGGGGGATATTCCTAGGATATTCGTCTCCCGGGGGCGGTATTCCTAGGAATATCGGCCCCTTTTGAGAGGGGGCGAATCTCCTAGGGGGAGGGGACAAAAGTCCTGTGACAACGGCATTGGCAAATAGCAGTACCTTTTTAAAAATTCTATCTTCCCCCCCCCCCAAATATGAGTTTGCCCCTCAAATGCCTCCCCCCCCCCAAATTCTGAGGCTGTTCTACAGTAAAAACCGGTAAAAAAGAACCACGAATTTTTATGTCAGGCTGAAGTGGTTCTTCATAATGGGTACTTAGCAAGAAATCAGGACGAGTTATTTCTTAACTGGTTCTCATTTCGATCTATTCAAAAACAATTCTTCCCAGTTTTCAGAATTTTAAACTATTTATTTCCTTAATTAATTAGTGAGCTGTTGACAGTATTACTATACTATGTTAAATTTGCAATATAGTATTATATTAAGCGTGTACCTGCATTTACCTGCCCTCAGAACATGCTTTCTACCGTCCAGTTAAAGTACAAAAGTGAGGGTTGTTTCTTCACTGTATCAAGCAAGATACATTACAAACATACCTGCTGCCACTACACTTCCCACAACGTCAGTGTGGCCAACCAAAGTAGCTTCAAAATTTAATGTATCAGCTCGCCATAACTTGATAGTGTGGTCCCAAGATGCAGTAGCAATGTATAGTCCATCTTTAGTAGTACACAGACTCATGATCGCAACATCATGTGCAGGAATGACATCCAATCGTTCACCTGTGCTCACACGCCATACTGTTAGTTTGCCTAGTACACATCAGGACAAGAATTAGTCAGGTTCTCGTCTGAGATCTTTCATTAATTATGTCTAACCTCAAATGCGAATTTTGGTACGTGTAATATTTGGGTCATTCCGAGAAGAAATATAATACATCTTTGCGTGGAAAGTTTTATCTTGATAAATTTTTTCACCGTCGAAATTGCCGGATATGGTGTCACTAGATGAATTTTAGAAGCAAAAATTAAAGGCGAACTAATTTGCAATTCATCATAGCAAAAATGTCGATAAAGATAAGTTCTTCCCGACAAGCCATATTGCATTTCTTTAAAAATGACTAAAATGTTAGATATACCAAAACTTATATGTATAGGGTTAGTGGCACTTATAGAAGAGGTAGCTAGGGGTTGTGTAAGATCTGTTCCGCACAGTCACAGAGGGTAACTTGCAAATATGTGCGGTATAACTCAATCAGTCGTAGAAAAACTTTATGTACAAAGCAAACAATGAATCTAAACTGGCAGATTATAATCGTGCTTGCATGTCTAAAGACTACCAAGGACTGCGTGCAGGTCGTGCTGAATAAGATGCGCAGAAGACGACGTATCTGACATTTTCAGAAATTAATTGTGACGGTCTTAAAAGACTTGTTTGAAACGTTGCGAGCCCAGGTGCGAAACACTTAAGCCCCGGTCAAACTTACCTGGATGAGAGTTGATAAGAGTTGCAACTCTCACTTGCGTTTTACAGCTAACTCTAATTAACTCGTGTTGAAAAAACTCACATGCACACTCTCGCTTGCCAACTCTTATCAATTTTCATCCTCGTTTGACCGGGGCTTTAGATGCTTACCATCTTGCGATCCAGTAAATAGTCTCTGATCATCTGTACTGAAATCCAATGCATTCACATCACCACCTTCTACTTGTAAAACTTTTAGCTGTTCAAAAGTATCTGTATTCCAGATTGTTGCAGTATTGTCACGTGACCCTGACGCAAGATGTCTTTGACTGTGTGACAGAGCCAAACACCACACTGTATTTGTATGTCCTTCGAGTACTTGCAATTCTTTGCCTGTTTATACAGATAGATTATAAGTATTTTTAAAAAGAGGGTGATAAATCTTTTTCGCGTGACGTTACAAAATTCTAATATTTTATAGGTTCCGTTTTTCGTTACTATGAGTATTCACCAAAAATTTTGAGCCTGCAGTTCGTGTAAAATATCACAAGACCTAGCTGGTTGACGCGCTTTTTCTTGAATGTTGCCAAGTCAGATTGGTTTATTACCAGTATCGGCTTCTTATTGTTCAATCGCACGCGACGATCTGCCTCGTCCCCAGGCGCTAATAAAAAAATTTCTTGCGAGTCGCTATGTGAAAGGTTTACATGAAGTAGTGCATCGCGACGAACAAGCGCAGGGGGTTATGGGCTTGAGGCATCGAAAACTGAGGAGCGCCTGGGAGATCTTGTGCCGTTTCTTCGTCAACGTTTTAAATATACTACCAATGACACCACCATGGTATATATACAGGAAGTTATGGTTACATCTTGGCAAAAGTAGAATTGCAGGGCTGCAGGTTCAATTCATGCTGGCAGGCTTGTAATTGTGTTAAAAATGTCTGTACCAGTACCAGTGTTGGTAGCACCAATGTGAAATTGCTGTCAGTGCCGAGTGGTTATATTACTACCTGAAAACAACAAGCAGAACTCAACGTTTTGAGCGAAAGCCCTTCGCTGGGAACGTTGAGTTTCTGCCTGTTTTTTTTTCAGGTAGTAATATAACTACTTGGCAAAGTAATTGTATTTCTTTGTAATTGCTCCCACATAGTTCTAAGAAACACATTGATTTCTAAGGTTAGTTAAGGCCTTTCCTTACTCCAATATGTAGGAGTCATTTTGTCTACAGTTTCCCAATGATTGCATGCATTATATACACCAGGTACCGGTAGCTCTAGCTTATTTAATTGTCTTATTAAATAATATTGATATATTTTTTAATAAATTCCATGTATATATGTTCAGTGATGTATGGCTCACAAATGTTCTTCATTTTAATGCAGTGTATAGGTTGTGACAACTAATTGGTCAAAATGACAATAAAAAATTGGTCACCTGGATGCATCTGAGAGAACCAATTAAAAATGGTCGTTTTAACCAATAAAATTAACCATGTTATTAATTGGTCAAAACAACCAAAAATATTTGGTTATATTAACCAATTACTATTGGTTTAAATGACCAATTAATTAATGGTTAATTTTATTGGTTAAAACGACAATTTTTAATTGGTTCTCTCAGATGCATCCAGGTGACCAATTTTTTTTGGTCATTTCGACCAATCAGTTTTTACAGTGTACAGTTCAGGAGCGGATTCAGACAGGTTTGACAGGTTTATATAAACCTGTCAAATTTTCCAAACAAAGGAAATCTATAACCTTCCACGTATATGACTAATTTAAAGAATATTCTGTTTCATAAAATTGATGTTGTCTAATCTATTACGCCATGCACTTGAAATTTGATTACGGATTACCAAGCGTATTTAGACCCACTTACATAATAAGCATTTTTTAAATTAATTAAATTAAGGACTTATAGCGTTGGTTCCCTCTTATGAAATGTTGTAATACTAGACTAATAATCTGCCAATATATCGTCGTGGGTCGTGGACTGAAACATCGCATGAATCACTCATAACCGCCCTCAATTATGAGTAAACCGGTGGTCAGAGTTTTTTCAATGAGAGTAAACCGGTCGATACGCCATTCGATTGGCTAAACGGCTGCGCTCCGCCGGTTGTAAACAGGTCATAAACCTGTGAGTCTACCAGTATTTAGAGAAAACTGGGCATGAAAGTTAACACAACTCGATGACGCGCGAAATATGTTTATATTACAATTTCCGTGACTGAACTTTTGCGTTCGCGATAGAAGCATTTGCATGGATTTCTTGTTCATTTTGAAGGTTTGTATAAAAGTATATAGTCTAAAGTTATAACTGTAATCTATTTCTACTTACTGTATAATAATTATCGATCCATCAACAAGCGTATCGATGTTTATACGTGTAACTTCTACTCAGTCTATACTCATGATAGCGCGAAATATGTGTATAATATATATTGCGTGACCGAATCATTGCGTTCGCGATATAGAGAATTGGGAAATGATTGTGAAACTTTCACGCTCTAAGTCTTGCAGTTTGGTTTCTATTTCATTGTTAAAGCGGTTGGTTTGAAAGCGTATAGATCTATAATTACAACTATGTTTATATTTAAAAGCATCTCTACTTGTTGTACTTGTAATAAATATCGATGCGTCAGCGATTTGCCAATCCTATATTTTCATCACTAGCTAATAAGTTTCCGAAAAGGTCCAATTCATTGTTTGAGCTGCCTATATTAGTCCTAATTCTCTTAAAAACATGTATTTTCTAACGATTAAATTAATTTTAAAAGTGACGCCAGAACGCAGGAAACGCTGTTTCAGAGGCCCAAATTTTAAAAATTTCCCGGGGGAGCATGAACGGACCCCCCAAGAGGTTGTGTGGACCTAGTAAACCGGTCATCTAAAACGCTGGATCCGCCTCTGTAGTTGGTTCTTTCTTGTACTTCTACATGGGGTTTTCTCCCAGACCCTTTCACCACAGCTGTATAGTGGCCAGGGCTCGAATTTTATCGCGGCAATCGCGGCAATTGCCGTAGAGGGAGAACAAAATGCCGTGGATCATTGCGGCAACGACGGCAATTTTTTGCCGTGTAGTGCAATTTTTATACTATTCACTGTGCATTACTACTTCGATACTTGAATTCAGATGTTGATCAAATCATGCGTAAATCACTATTTTAGTCTCAGTTTTCTTCGAAAACAAAACACTAAAGAAGTACGTAGATATGTTTCTAGCTTGTCATAAATCCAAAGTAACAATAAAATTAAAGTTTTATTACAGTAATTTGAAAAATGCCGTGGAAACTGCCAAAATTGCCGTAGACAGCTGTTACGTTCTACGGCAATTTTTAACGCCATTGCCGTCGATTGATTTCAGGGAAATTCGAGGCCTGATAGTGGCAGCCAGAGGCGTCCTAGTGAGTCAGTCACGTTTGATTTAAACAATATTTAATTAATAAAAAAGACAATTTTTCCAAAATCATCAGGCTTATCTTGGGAAATCTTGTCATACAATATAATATTACAAGGCAATCTCGTACCCAGAGCAATGCCTGTGCGCGGGCTAGGATGGCATTGGCTCTGAGGAAATTGAAATTTTCCTGTGTTGTGATTGGTTTAAACGTTCATCAATCGTGCATGCCGACAAAGAACCGGAACCCCTAAATTTAGGGGTTCCGGTTGTCAATTTCTCCAGATCCAATGCCATCCTAGCCTGCGCACAGGCATTGCTCTGGGTACGAGATTGATTACAAGGTTAACTGACAAAAAATGACATTACATTCGGACTAAAATACACAGAACAGACACATATTAAGTACGATAAACAGACGAATGGCAGAAACATGCACATCAAATCAAGATTAACATAACACCACAAAGATCACACATAATATTATGTACACATGCACTTATAAATCTTAACAAAAACGTTTATAATTAATAATAAAGTCCTGCACAAGTGAAAATAGCTTAACGTTTATTCATTGAAAGCGCATTGATGTTGACGAGTTTAACCATAAAGTACCGAGCAATTGTTCAGCGGCAGCAAGAAGAACACAACGTTCAGCAGCAAATCGATTACATTCAAAGAAGAAGTGGAGCTCTGTTTCATTTGCTAAACCACAACTACACATTGGTGAGGCCACACAGTTCATCAGGAACAAAGGATAATTTAAAGTACTGTTACGTAAACGAAATCGAGTATGCAATAAAGAAGCCATGCAATTTCCAGTGGTAAATAGGGTATTGATTTTTGGCATTTTACGCCACTTCATATAGCTGTTTTGGAAACAAGCTAATGAGTGAGAGCTACGAACGTCAAGTGGCAAAGTGTTCCAAAGTTTGATTGAGGAGACTGAAAAGGATTTTTTAAAACGTTCAGTCCTAGCATGTGGGATATGATATAATCTTCTCCGGAGTACGGAGATTGTAAGCTGTTATAGATCTAACTTGGACCGGACAGAGTTCCTGTAAATAGGATGGTGTAAGATTATTAAATATCTTATAAATCATATTCAACTTATGATAGGTACGACTTTCTTTCAGTTTGACCCATGCCACTTCATTAAGCAATCCTTCACGAGATGTTCCCTTTATAGCACCCGTAACCAATCTAGCTGCTTCATACTGGAGTTGTTCAAGAAGATCATTATCAGTTTCGATACAACCATCCCAAACAATATCTGCATATTCCAAGCATGAACGAACCAGAGATTTATACAAAGTATTAAGTGTTTTCCTGGTCAATATTAACTTCATAAGTTTAAGCATGATTTAAACGTTTTGAGACTTTTTGATGGATTTTTAAAATGTGAGAACGCCATGAAAGATTAAATCTAAGCGTAACGCCTAAATGCTCATGCTGAAAAACCTCTTTGATTAACACATTTGATAAATAGAGAGGATGAATTGGTTTGTCTTTTTTAGCTGAAAAGATCATACTTTCTGTTTTTTCGGCATTCATTGTGACAAGCCACCGGTCAGCCCACGTAGAGATCGAGCTAAGGGCACAATTTATTTTCCTAGCTGAATCGACAGGTGACTCTACCTCGTCAAGCAATAAAGAGTCATCGGCAAATAGAAAACATTCTGTTGAAATATTATTAACAATATCATTAATATATATATAAGAATCAACAGTGGGCCCAATACAGACCCCTCGGGGACCCCTGCCTGGGTATTTTGCCAATTAGAACATTCTCATCAATGACTACTCGCTGTTTCCTACCAGCGAGCTGTGTCCTTCGCTAGTTCCTTGAGCTGTGTCCTTCGCTATTCAGGACTCAGCTGCAAGGAAAGATGGTTAAAACTCCCAAACTTTGCTTTCTGTTTTATCTTTAGCATACAGCTACATACCTGTCTCTAGTTCATGGATGCGGATCGAACCGTTATGCAAACCAGAAATGACAATAGTGCCAGTTGAAGTAGTGCACGTTGCTAATGACCATACTTGAGAACCAACGTTCTTTTTAAATATCTCTGCCCCTTCAAGTTTGAGGCAGGAAAATAATGGTAAAAGACGGCAAGTCTTCCGGCTTGTTTCACGGACGTCGTCTAACAGCTTCTTCACGCTCGGGCATTCGTCACTGGCATACGATAGCAACCTACCTAGAACACAAATGTACAACAGTTTTAGCATTGCGTATATAATACTATTTATAATACTAGTGCAGAAGATTTACGCTCTTGAAAAAATTATATAAATTTTAAAAAATAGGTACTGGTGGCACAGTGGTTAATGCCTCGGCTTCGATTCATGCAGTGTGCAGATGTCTGATTATAAATACTCTTTGATCGAATATGCAAATATATAGTTCTCACGTTTTCTCTGGGAACTTTGCTTCCACTTGTAGAAACAATGGATTGACCCTTACGAACTTACAGACGGCCGGCCAAAACCTGAAAATGTGCAACAAAATTTGTTTTATGGCATTTTCTGTTACACGCTGCCAACTAACATTTTCAGAAAGTATATGTATTAACGAACAAGACTATATATTTTGGCAACTCTGATTTGGCCTTTATAGATGAAAAATTGGAGAATTTGAAAATGTTTTTATAAAAAGCACTATCGATGAAAAAAATACAAAATTACATCTTCACTTTTAACAAATATAAACTATACCATTAGAAGATTTGCAAGAAAGTATATATAAGACATTTAAGCGAGTAGTATGATTTGCGTAGCCAATCAGTTGCAGAAAATGCCCCAATTGACTCCAATAGTTACTATCTTTCCAACTTTACGCTCCTTTAACTCAAAACCGGCTTGACTACTTGCTTAAATGTCTTATATATATTTCTCCTCGATCTTTCTAATGGTATAGATTATCTTTGGGAAAAGTGAATTTGAAATTTTTGTCAACATAGTACTTTATTAAGCAACATTTTAAAATTCTGAACTTTTCAACTATATAAGCCAAAATCAGAGGTGCCAACATATATATATATATATATATATATATAGTCTTGTTAACCGATGGGTAAGCTATAAGAAAATGCCAGTTGACAGCTTGTAACAAAAACTCCCATCAGAGTGTACCTTTCAGAGTGTTGGCCGGTCGTCGATTATAGCGCTTCCCAGGATACGTCAAGTTAGATTAGTTTAGGTTTCCTCGTGCAGTACACTGCACCAATAAGGAGCGGCCCTGACTACACACGCCTCCAGGAAGAACAGTTTAAAACTGACAGAGCTATTCAATATAAGCAAAGTTATATTTCCTGCTGTAGTAAAACTGCACCATTAATTAAAAAATAACTCTGACTGTACACAGGCAGTTTAAAACTGATAGAACTACATAAGTTAACCTATTAAGTACTGTTTAATAAACGAGCAGGAGTGTTTTAGGCTTTAGCGACCTTTAGCTATTAGATATAATAAAACACGACCTGCAAGTTTATTAAACGGCTGCAAACACGACTACAAATGCAATAGATATACTGCCTTATTAGTATTCTTTATATAAAGAATACTACTAATGAGGACACAACTACAATGCATACTGCCTTATTAGTTTCTTTATATAAAGAATACTAATTAGGAGTGTTTTATCAGGTTTAAAGCCACTGCACATGACATATTATGGTTGACATGATTTTCCAATAACGTTATGAATTATTAATGAGTGTTTGAAGGTAAGCGAAGGAAAGGTAAGCCAAAAAAAGGTACATTAGTTTTATTACCTAGCAACTGCGGACCAATGGAACTCGGGTTTTTCTCGATGGCGTCGGCAGATAACATTAACGACTTTTTGAGAAGTTTGATTTCGTGCTGCAAGGGCGTATCCAGGAAACGAAAATCTGATATTAGGGAGGGAAAATTCGTGTGTTTCACTTTTTGTTCGAGCCAGTGAAAGTCGAACAATAGTTGAATTAATTCACTCTGTTGTTCGGAGGAGAATATGTGATAGGGTAGGTACTTGAAATAATAGTCTCTTTGAGAGAGACTTGAAGTAGTAGTCCATTCACCATTCACGCATTGGCCACGAAGTATTTTCACGAACACGCGCTGGACATCAGCTAGTGTGCCAGAGGCTTGAAGTTTCTGCCGGGCAAATTCTAAGAGTAGATCATGGACACGGTAGCTTGTCTTCCCTTGGAGTTCAGGTCCTGAAAAAGGTCGACGGGGAGCGTTCATGTTAGTAACCCAATTTGTATTAGAGATGGACTATCAGTTTGGGGTCGGTTGTACAAAGGCCGGATAGCGTTATTCAACGGATAGTGATTGTTTCAAATTTTCTAAAAGTGTCTGTTCAATAGTATAATCAAGATTAAATAAAGTTCAGTAATTATTCATTAAAAGAGTTTTTATAATTATTGTGAGGTCTATATCTGTAGCTTCACAGCTTTTTATGCACGTTTACGAAGGTTGAAGAATCACTATCCGGTGGATAGCGCTATCCGGTCTCTGTACAACCGGGCACTGGATATACTTGGACAAAAAAGAGATAGTTCGCATGATAATTTATCTGCGTATAAATGCAGAAAACAGACAAATCATCAGTGAAGATGAACTATCTACTTATTTATTCCACTCAGATAGGCTTCTGTGGTGCGTGAAGATCATCTTGACAAGTGTTTATACACAACGGTGTGTAAACACTATATTGAACAAAAAGTTACTATCGCAAGGAATTAAAAGTACTGCTTCAAACTCGACGCTCTCAAAAGATGGATGGGAAAAAGCCTGGGGACATATTGGACTATTTCGTGCTGTTTAAAATGCCGAAAACATCATGAAGGAGCGCTGCTTTTCACTGGAATGTGCAAACAAAAACAAACAAATACATTTTACATGTAGTGTTCATCAAGAAATACAATATATTCCAAATGAGTCAGATAGTCAGATAACGCGAGCGTATACAATTTCCGTCTATTTTTCGGTTTATTATACGTCTGCTAATTGAGTTTGCTAATTGCAAGTTCGCAACATTTGGACGTCCGTCTATAACGTTCGCTAATTGGAACAGACATACGGGTATCTAGCTAATGGACGCTAAATCAACATTGCGATAATATATCATAGAAATAGTAGATGCAATAAGCAATATATAGATCGCGCGAAAGACTGGGCCTAGTGAACTCTGGAGAAACGCTATCTGGTACCCAGAGTCAACGATGATTTCTCTGGGTACAAGATTGGGAGAAACGTTGTCAGTGCCAAGAAAAGTCTGCTTGCTTGGCAGCAACTATTTATTTCGAAAAATATTTCAAATATTCCAATTTATTCCGGAAACCATTTCCAGTATCGATCACGCTATTTTGGCTACTTGGTCTGGTCCATTGGTCTCGTCTACTAAGCAATGTGTGCCCGTCAGATGGACAGATCGTCACTTGTATTAATCGGGACAACGGTTAAAAAAAATGCAGTTCTAAATTTGGAAAGTACGCTACTAAAAATACAGTATTTTTGTCCTAATGAAAACCACAAACCTGAAATAAACTAGCATTTGGTTTATTTGGAAAATGTTAAATCTATCTTACCGAATGACAAATAATTTCTCGAGTGAATGTGAAATTTTAACTACAAGTTTGAATTTAGTTTTAATCGATCGGTGACAACCTTCAAAAGCAGTCTTGAAATGTTAATAAAACATTACGCTTTCACAATTTACGTGATACAGGGTACACGTATTTTACCTCATACTGACGAAAAACACGAACCAGGAAACTCAGTGGCCGAAAACCTGCAATAAATGTCACTATATAGAAATTAACATTTTCCCGGTTGCGGAATGGAGCATTTTTATGGTGAAAACGTCCCGTCCCAAGCAGGATCCCGATTGTTAAACCGGGATTTCACCTTGCCGGGACGGAACGAAAAGCGTCTCGCTTCCATGTAAAAAGAATGCAATAAATATGAGGGAACTATACACATGGCGGAATCCCAATCATCGTCGCACCCTGGCAAACATCTCATCCCGCATTTCATATATACAGGGACCTTTAAAGAATACACTTGCCATTTCGTTATGTACACCCACCCCCATGTACTGACCTTTTTGAATCAGTGATTTCCTCTCAAGTGCCTTAAGTATACATCTCCCTTCTTGAGGGCTGCACGATGTTCTCCCGGCTTCTTTCGAAGACCAAAACAGCTCGAGGATATCTGACGCTACATTTATATCTTCTGGGAATATACCAAAATCAAGGAATTTCTCTCGTTCGTTTTTCTCCAAACGTTGAAAGCTAGCATCAATGGCTGCTAAGATGTTATCGTAAGGATACGTCACAGTGGGAAACTGTGAATGTAATTGTTCCAAGCCAGCATTTTGAAAGTACCCCAATACATCTTGCCAGTCTTGTTGTAAGCGAGTGTCGATTAAATTTGAGCCCACTAGCGACAGAGCCAGCGGTAATCCTCGGCACTGCTTTAACAGTTCTTTGACAATCTGGTGCATTTCTGGACTAAACGTAGACAGTTCGTCTGGTTCGACCCCGGCACTTTGATACAAGAGCGCTCGGGATTTATCCTGAGCCATAAATTGGAGTTCGTACACAAAACCTTTTGAGCTACGAACAACTTTAGCATCTCTAGTAGTTATTAATAATTGGCATTTCCCAGAAAGGTGATCAAACACAGCAACGTCGTCAACACTCCAAACATCATCAAGCACAACTAAACAATCTTTATCACTCTGCAATACATTGCAAACAAGCTATGAAAACATATCTGCTGACAATCTCTTGTTCGGGATAATTTAATCAGGTCAAACGAGGATGATGAGAGTTGACGAAGATTGACGAGAGTTGATGAGAGTTGCAACTCTTGCTTGCCAACTCGCGATCATCGACTCTCATAAACTCTCTTCAACTTTGAGCTAGTTAAAATTTTGATGAGAGTTTTTCCTACACTTGGTCATATCGAGTCAATTCTCATCAACTCTCATGTAACTCCCGTTCTCGTTTGTCCGGAACATGAGAGTTGAGAAAATTCTCACACAAACTCTAGCTTGTCAACTCTCATCAACTGTCATCCTTGGTTGACCAAGGCTTTCGGGGCAAGACGATGCACAAGAAAATGAATATCATATACCATATTGTTTTACAGCATAAGACAATAATAGCCGTATACAGGCATGAGTGCAGTTGTCTATCTTATGCAACACGGACGTGAATGCCAAAATGCTGTACATAGTTTGGGATTCGTCTTGATGAAAATGTTTGTGTGAAAATGTTTCTT